CTGATAAAATGTCTTGCATTTACAAACAAGCATGTTTATGTACATAAAACCAAGCTTTTAAGATTTGATACTAGAACACTACAAGTAACTTGGCTAACTTGAGAGGGTCTAGGAGAGACTTTGAGGGGAAGTAGGTTGGGAGAAAGGGAGTGAAAAGATACGAAATTAGGGTGGAAAGACTGAAAGAGGGTGAAAAAGGAATTTTATAGGGAGGTCAAACAGGCCCTTAATAGGTACCTGTTGGATACAGTAACCAGAGGTAGGCCAGGTAGACGCTTCAATAGTCTAAACCTGGTGGTAAGCTAGGTTGCTAACGTTACCACCTAGCAACCTAAGTTTCAGATGGGACCAGGAGAAGTTGCTTGGTTCATGTCCCATCTAGCAACCTAAGTTTCAGATGGGACCAGGAGAAGTTGCTTGGTTCATGTCCCATTCGTTGGTCGGACTTGTAAATACAGGATGGTCTGATCAGTTTTTGAGATATTGCAGAAAACTTTGATTTCTTCCTAAAACAATGTAATAAATATGTTTTTTTTTTTTAATCATTGAAAAATATGGTCGACAAATGATACAATGCTGCAGCACCCTTTGGGTTCATTCTTTGGAATCTTTTTGAGCCAGATCAGCTCAAGAACTCTTTGGGTTCATTATGGCAATAAGACAACAGCTTAGGGTGTACCTTTTTTGTTCTATGATTTTTTGATGCATTTTCATTGTTACTTATAGTAACTCTTTCAGAGATTGAAGTCTTTTTAGACACAATGCTTAATAGCAGGAAATGATCCATGTAACTGATTCCAGACACGGTGTTATGGCTTTTAGTTGTTGTGTATAGTATTTTTTGGGTTTATTTAATGTGTAAGAGTCCTGATATGGTTATAGGACATGAGAGTTAGTTGCTTAGCTATTAGCAGCGATAATATTTGAAGTTTCTTAGATGTTAGTTTTGTTTTAATTTGGACAGTAATGAGATTACCAGCAAATTGTATATTTCTCCTGCAAGTTCTCTTCATTAACTATATATATTGATGTGAACCTGAGGGCTCAAACTTAGATGTTCTCTTTATTTTCTATGCAGTAAAATTTTATTTTTGTAGATAAATTGATATTTTCTTTGTCTTCTACACAGTAAGTTAATTTATTTTTGTAGGTAAATTCTTTAGCTTGTAATTCAGGAGGCTTTTTCTCCTCGAATTGGAGAAAGACTTGCTGGAGTCTTAATTTTGACATCTTGGTATTAAAGCAAGATGTTCTACCCAGCTTTTTGAATGTTCTTATCTTTCTCAACATCCAATGAGTGTTGCCAAAACCATATCCACCATGCCAGTGTCAACCACTGTCGTCACCCTAGTATCTTTGTGAGGGCTTCTTCATTCAACCAGCTTTGGGGAGCAGCGGATGGCAGAAACAGTTAACAATAGATGATACAATGAGGGTCTTTTACTTTTTAGTGTATATATCTATATTTGAGGAATTATGCTAGACCAGTTTGGTTTTCGAAGCAGGATAAGAGTATCGGGGGCATTAGTAGCCATATAAAAATAGGCATGTTTCTCGTCTTCTAGTTTAGTTAAATTCATATTAGTTTAGTAGTGATCTTAGAGTTGATAATTATTGGGAGGATTCTTATCCAAATTGAATCTGAAAAGCAGTTGCAAAAGGCCATTTTTAACAATTCACTCTAGGTAAATTGCATTCAGGTTGAAGAATGAGGATCTGAAATATAAATACATCTTTCTGAGTTATGATTTATGGCATGTGTTTCTTTTTAGTCTAATGGATTTAAATTGTTAAGCACTATGTGGTACCAATAGCTCTTGAAATTTTATTTATCAATTTTTCTTTGAAGATGTTAGATTTCAGCAACTTATATACTGTAACATCCCAACCTTTTATGTCTAGTCTGGTGCCCATCACATATTCTCATTTGCAGCAAGAACTATGCTGCGTAGACTCCTGAAACAAAATTTTTAAAATAATTGCTACTACAGGCTGTAGCTATGCCAGGTTCAACAATATGCACGTGGAGAAAGCTACTATGTCCTTCTGAAACCCAAGGCACCTATTTTCCGAGAAGCTAGCTCCTCTTCAAGCTATTTACCTTGCAAATCATAAAATTCGTGCAAGGGGTCAATCTGTAATCTGAAAGAAACAAACCTCATACAAAATAGTGGATGTTTTCCAGGAAACCATAACTGACTGGAGAAAATTATTTCAGGAATTCCTGTAAAAGATATTATCAGAGTCTGCTTAAATTTGTTAAAATTATAGTGGTCATCAATATTTTTCTTTTTTTTTCTGTCGCACATTCTCCTTGTCAAAATGATTTAGATTGGTGAATTTTCTCTTATTACTAAAAGAAACAAGAGACTTCATTTGACATTTTTTATTCTAGTGTTGCTTCATGCAAGTTGACATGATTATGTTACTTTAATGCAACTTAAGACCTGACTTTAGATTATTATCTTCTTTATTTTTCATCATACCTAACTGGTCAAGGTGCATTTCTTCAGCTCTCTGGCAATTTTAAGTGTGTTCTCTCACTTCTAAGCTATGAATCTGTTCCAGATATCCTGTTTTGTGGCAAAGCTCTCAGGGCTCAAGAAAATTTTCTTCCGAGGAACTTACATATGTGGTCATGAAAAGATTATGGACAAGATTTCTTGTTCAATGAAATATTGGTAATTCACCTTTATCCTTAGAGAATTGATTAAAGTCCTTTTTTGTTCTTTAAATATCTCTTCCACTCATTCTGTTAAATTTCAAATATTGACTACTAGTGTTAATATAACAGTTTCTCAATCATTTATTAGATTATATTTTTTAAGCAAATTTTTTAATGTTTATTCATCATATATATAATTTTTCTAATATCCTTCAGGTCAAAAGGTCAGCTACAAACAACCTTTTTATGTCACGAAGGGTTTTTAGGAGCTGTAGGTGCATTTTGGAGTTATGAGAACATGGGTATTGATGACTTCGCAACAAAGGAAGTCATGAAACAAGTTTTGCTAGGTGCTCCTTATATTGGAGGAAACTCTCCATCTTCTTATTCACCAAGACAGATATTTAACAATGTAAGTGATGAAACAGAACTCGTTTTATAATTTGACATTGTCTTGCCAAATAGCTCCATTTTGTTTCTTCATAACTGGAATCATATTTAGATGGTTTTTATCATTTCTTGTATTATGTGCATCATATACTCCAAGCTTTCAACTAGTGCATATGCAATTATTGATATTCAAAAAGTGCAGAGAAGTAACTTGATGACCAAATTGTTAGCTAGGCATAGTGGAGGACATGATACTTTTATCAATGAGTTCGTATTTCTGAGATTGTGTTAAAATTAGCAAATCTTAGGTATGCTATATCTTGTCTAAGTTTATAAGATGATCTTTGTTCCTTGATATATTCAAATATTGTTTAGATAATTTGTTTTTCCTCGTACCATGATTGTCGATCAAATGAAGATTCACACTGGGTAAGTAATGTAAATAAATGTCAAAAGTCGGAATGACGAGCTTAAGTGGTTTGTCCATGTTTTTGCCTTCATCGTCTCTTTAGTCGTATAAGTTGTATCCCAGTACCTCTCTCATGAATGTCAAGTTGTTTTAAGTCTTGTTTTGAAGTTTGAAAAAATCCAAATTCTAGAAAAAAGATTTACTATATAATATATATGGGTGCGAAATATGTTTCTCTTTCAACTGGAAGGCTACAACGTGCTATATCAGATATGAAGTTATCTATGTTTGAAAGGATTTTATGGTGCCTAGATAATTCTTGATGAAATTATAAGAAGCCCTTAATTTACTGGCTTACATAATTATAACCAGGGGTCCTCAGTCATGTCTATTTATAAAGTTTTCTATGTTTTACAAAAATAAGTTGTAAGGGCATGTTTGGCTTAACTTTTGGAAAGGCCTTATCTAGCTTTTGAAGCAAAAAAAGATCCTTTTGCAACTATCTGTTGTTTAGTAACACACTTTCAGTATGGCTTTTTGGAAAAGATGTTGAAAATTGAGTTTTAGTATGAGGTCAAAATCATACTGGTATTTGTTCAAACTGTTAAATATTGGTTTGTATGTATTGGTACGACTGGTATTTAAAATCTTATTTGAAAGCTTCTATATTATAGAATAGACATGGAATAAGGCTCATGCATTAGAACTCCCTTTTTCTCGTGGTGTAAACCATGAAACAAATGAGTTTCACAGAATATGAATGAATAACTGGAATACCTTCTAGATATAGTTTTATTACTCTGTTTCTCTTAATTGAGGCTTTAGGAAGTGGGTGCCTAGAAAACTGTGGTTCAATAAATTTGTAAGAACTTGCTAATCTTCAGGATGATTGTGGGTTCAATTTGTTATTTGTTTCTTCTAATACAAAAGACTGCATACTAACCAATACAGTGCCGTAATGATTGCATGGTCTTGGAATTCTAATATCATAGTGTAGCTGAACTAATTACAAGTTTGTGCAAGGTCAAGATTTGGGGCCTTCCCAAATAACTTCTCTAAACTTTATATGTTGAAGTAAAATTATGCCTGTTCTGATAACAAAAAGATAACAAGCTAAAGAAGCAATTGAGAGAGAGAGAGAGAGAGAGGGAGAGAGAGGCTATACCAGTTGCACATAAATCTGAAGTTACAGAAGTTAGTGAGAAACTGAAAGTGAGGAAGTAAAAAGAGCAAAATATTTAAGAATCTTTGTACAATTAGTTACGGAAGTAGCATATGTTTGTTATGTATATTTAATATCTCAATTATATATTGATTCCCATTACTTCCCCAAACAATTCATGTAATGCTATTAAAATTTGCAATGTATCGATGGTTCTCTTGAGTTCACCATTCATCTTTTATTATTCTTGCTAACAACCTCTTCCTCTTCTACATTCTCTGTGCAAAGAATTCTAGGCTGTCGAAGAGTTCTTTGGTATTGCTGGCTGAATATTTTTGCTTGTACAAACACATACCTGAACAAGAGTGGACCAGCATAAAAAGGATGAAACTAATGCACTAGACTCTAGATTGTATGGTGTCAATGTTTTTTTAATATCATATAGGCAAGCCTCTTTAAGACCGGCTTATTCTTCTTGTTGCTCTGATTTATTTCCTTTGCGTTTTCAGCGTAAGTTTCTAAAATATTTCAAGAATTATGAGATCACTTGAGTGTAATTTTTGTGACAACAAAATAGCAAATGTTGGTCACACAAGTTTCTGCTATTAGATTCCAAGGGTAATCTATCTTAATAGATCTTTTGTTTTGTATCTTTGTTCCCCCTAGTTTCATGTTCATTTTCTAATCCATGCTTATAGCAAGCTTTTGTAACTAGTAAAGTTATCTGTAAGATGATAAATTATCCATTTGTTTATTTTCTTAGCTTTGACAATTAGTAGGGTTATATTTTAAAGTAAGAACTAGGTACCTTCTTTTTTACTGTATATTTAAGTTGGGAAAATATGAGTAAAATTTCAACTTATTCTTTGCTTGTTCAGGGTCGTAGTATGAACTTGAAGAAAGAAGCGGAGAGGTTACAGAACGAGAACACAGAACTAAATGCTGAAGTGCAAAGATTGCGAAATGAAAATGCCGAGCTGAGAGCCAAGTTAGAGAAGTTGCAACAGGACAAATCGCAAAGCTCTTAGACCATTACCATGAAATTTATAGTCAACAAGCTTGCGTTCATTAAAAACATAGGTTCGGTGTCATTTCTCGTCTCTAAGCTTTTATTTGTACTCTTATGGTTAAAAACATTAGAGTTGTAGTCTCTGGCGATATTCTATCAATTTTCATGCAAAACATATGATTTGTCTCATGTGCGTACTCAAGCTATTTTGTTCTCCTTTTTATTAAAAACATATGATTTGTATATCTCATTCTTTAGAGAATAATGGACAATGTTGAAGACTATTATTTGGTTCAGTTATCAATCTGGGAACCTCTTCACATTAATCCGTAGCTATTTTGTTCTCCTTTTTATTATTGTATATCTGGGTTCGAAGTGTCACGTTTAGTTCATGTGACATGAGGACGTATGGGATCTCCTCATATGGGTCGGATTTTCTTGACTCACGCTTTTGGCATATTTTGTCATGTGTCTCCGCCATGACAGATTTTTCTTCACAAGAGTCGAGTTTTCCTTACTCACACCTCAGGTATGTTTTGCACTATGCATCCATTGCGGTGGATTTTTCTTTGCATGGGTTAAGTTTTTTCAACTATATGCCTCAAGCATATTTTGACTTGCATCTTTGTTGTAACGGAGTTCTCCTCACGTGGGTTGGATTTTTTCGAATTATACACCTTAGGTATATTTTGTCTTGTGTCTTTGTCGTGGTAGATTTCTCCTCATGCGAGTCGAGAGTCGAGTTTTCCTGACTCATACATCTCGGGCATATTTTGCCTTGTGCCCCTCGTGGTGGGTTTCTTTTCATGCAAGTTGGGCTTTCCTAACATGTGCCTCGGGCATATTTTGCCTAACACATTTGCCGTGAAGGATTTCTTCTCGCGTGAGTCAAATTTTTTTGATATGCACCTCATGTATATTTTGTCTTGTGCCTTCGTCGTTGTGGATTTCTACTCATGCGGGTCAGGTTTTCACGACTCACGTGCGTCGAGCACATTTTGCCTTCTGTCTTCGTCATGACGAGTTTCTTCTCATGCGGGTTGTATTTTTCGACACTTGTACCTCGGGCACATTTTGCCTTTATGCTTTTGACGTTGCGGATTTCTCCTCATGTAGGTCGAGTTTTTCCGACTCACGCACCTCAGGCATATTTTGCCTTACGCCCCAACTATAATGAGTTTCTACTCATGTGGGTTAGATTTTCCCAACTCACGTGTCTTTGGTACATTTTACCTTGTGGCTCCGTCGTGATGAATTTCTCCTCACAAGGGTCGGGTTTTCTCAACTCACGCGCCTCAGGCATATTTTGACATATGCCTCCATTATAGCGGATTTCTCCGCATACAGGTCAGGTTTTCCCAACTCATATGCCCCGGGCACATTTTGTCTTACGCTTTTGGCGTAGTAGATTTCTCCTCACGCGAGTTAGATTTTCGCGACACATGCCTCAAGCACATTTTGCCCTGTACCTTTATCATGGTAGATTTCTCTTAATGTGAATCAGGTTTTCCCAACTCATATGTCTCAAGCACATTTTACCCTATATCATTACTGTGACATATTTCTCCTTATGTAGGTCGAGTTTTTTCGACTCACGCACCTTGCCCATATTTTGTCGTGTGCTCAGGCCGTGGTGAGTTTCTCTTCATGCTGGTCGGATTTTCCCCACTCATGCACCTCAGGCACATTTTGCCCTATACTCCCCATCATGGCAAGTTTCTCCTCACGTGGGTTAATTTTTTTCGACTCACGCCTCGAGCACATTTTGTCCTATGCCTCTATCGTGGTGGATTTCTCCTCACATGGGTCGAGTTTTTCCTAGTCACACACCACAAGCATATTTTACCCTAAGTCTGAGTTACGTTGTTGTCGATAGCCTCGGGAGCACGTTCTTGAGGAAAGTGAAACTTGAATTCCCTTGTGAGCTAAGCAAAAGAACTAATAAAGAGTGACTTTAGACGGGCGTGCCATTCTCGTGCCAAGCCTCTTAATGTGATCGGGAACGCACGGCACATCAAGGCATCTGAAGTGCTATACAATGACATTTGAGCGCGGAAAGCGACAATGTGCTCCAATGGGTCAGCACTACCATCAAATGCCTCCAATGATGGGAGGCAGAAGTTTGCAGAGATCAATTCCTCCTAGATTTCCTAGGTGAATAGCAACCAACCCAATGTGGGTTCAACTTGTCGTTCCCTTCTAAATTGTTGAAATTCTCATCGTATCTCCTCCAAACGTCAATCCATTTGTCGTAGCTAAATTCATAGGGAATCCTCCATCAAATCTACCGATTGGGTCTCGAATTCAAGTGGGGTACAATGGAGATATAGTCCATTGAACTCCATAGTTGAGGAGCGATGTGCCCTCGGAGCCGGTGATTCCATGGGCCTCGGGCGCTCTTGGGATGTTGGCATCACATCGAGTGGAAGGACCCCTACGAGAATTGGTGTTGTTGGCGATTGACGTTTTGACTATAGCTAAGCTAGTGGCATCATTTGTTGGGCTAGCTATGACAAAAGTGGAGCGACGACTTGTATCATGCTTGTTAGTGTCTAAACACGCTAGGTGAGGTTCAAGAACACCTTAAAAAGGTCAAGCAAGTGGCTCGAGGTCAACCCCAAGAGTGAAAGGCCTGAGTCGTTGAACAAACGCCACTATCACATGGAAGTTTAAGCTAAGGTGGATGCGTCAACATGCAGAAAGAGTGACTATTGCCCCCCTTTGAGCGAAAATACTATGGATTTGGCAAAGCCTCATCGCTCAAGCGTTCATTGAGAGGGTTGGTTGGTGAGCGTTCTTGCAACATCGGGCCCTCCTTCTAATGTCAATATAATGAGCGAAAATATCATACATCTTAGTCAACCCAACATAATCCAAACTCATATGCACAAGGTTACCCAAGGTTGCTTCGAGGTAGAAACGTAGCACTCCCAAGGTATCACCTACATTAAGATCGAGGTTAAAAAAAATTTCCCGACCCGATCCCGCTAATACCCCAGTTAGTAACTCGAAATCCTAGAGTACAAGCACGAGTAGTTATAAAAAAGTCGGCCTCTTCACCTTGTATTGAATACTAGTTTTTATACCTGATCTCAAAGAGAGAGAATATTCCGTAAAATATTATATGAGAAGACAATCTCTAATCATTCTCAACTGTCCCAAATTGTCTACTTTAAACTCCTATCGACATGAGCAAACAGATGAAAAATGACCTAAAGACGATCGATGATTGACATACAATATATTCCCAATCAACTTTCTTTTCTTTACGGATCAAGAGAATACCAATACCAATCTGCATCTCTTTTATTTGTCATTACTTGGATATGGCTTTCTTTAAAGATCAAAGGAATACCAATTTAACAAGCAACCAACACCGTTTACTCGACCCACATGGAAAATGAACTCTACAATAGAATACAGGGCTTACATGACACAAGGCAAAAGTACCGCTCCCTAGGAAGCGTTTCCTCGTTTCGTAGAAGATTTGGTGCCACTATTTAGTTCTGCACAAATAATGCGAAGAGTAGTCAGGAATCATACCAAGTGTAGTCCTCGAGAACACTGTTTTATTTTTCGAGATTACTTAAAACCAAGGTTTGTCATACCGAAGCATACCGCCCGTATCGGACAGTATATACCGGTCCGACAGGTTACCGATACACGAACCGCCCGGTACTACTATAATGCTACAATACTATACTGTAGCACTACTACAGTATAAAAAAAATAAAAAAATATTCGATACACCAGAGCATATCGCTCGGTACGGTACAACGAACCTTGCTTAAAACAATACGAAGTTCTTTTGTCTCTATAAAGCAGTAGTACGCGTTGTTGTCCCTATTCATCCTTTATCCAGCCATGAATTTTATCCAGCCATGAATTCTCTCTCGTCCCTTCTTGGCAGGCATTAAAAACATACTCGACTCCTCCAATACTCCAATCAGAGTTATCCTAAGAGTAAAAATAAACAAACTTCTCCCATTCTTTACTCACGTCCTATAAAAGTTGGCCTGCTTTGCAATATCCACTACTCCTACCCCCTTTCAACATGATTTTGCAGATTCACAATCGAAATCATGATTGTGGCCATAATATGGATCAAAGAAAAGTTTAAACTAGATTCAAATTGTAAATCATAAAATTGAATTCTTTTCCTTTTCAAACTTAAAAGTTTCAAACGTGGATCAACAAGAAACTAAATAATAATATCGTCTGGCAATAGTCTATTAAAACAAGCTTCATTTTGCCAGGATAAGACAGGATAAGACACACCATAGAATAAAACGCCATATAACTTATTTAACAAAGATAAGATGAATCAATTCAATATCTCCAGCACAATCTCGAACAGACTATCAAACGTAAAACATAACTTTAATCCCAAAACCACATAACTTTCTGTTAGCAGATAATCAAGAACAGCGACTAATGAAACTAACGAAATGATATAATTGAATCTATATGAACATAATACATAAAGCATACATGAAATTTTCTGTTGGATTCAATCAGGGACAAGAAACCATTTGGGACCAGTTCTGATCCGACCAAATGAAGAAGAGTTTCTATCAATAATATCACCACAACATTGAATGATAGTGTTGCCAAAAACATTTAACATATTCAGAATCAAAACAAGAAAGAAAAGTTAACCATTCTCCTGCATAATAGTTTTTTTTTTATTTTGTAATTCACAAATCTTGACAAGAACAAATATTAATGTATGATAAGAATATAAGAAATTTGAATTCATATAGGCTGCATTATATGAAAAATATGTACAGTTTTATGACTTAATACTATCTCCATCCTAGCTCATAATTTTGATATTTCTTTTTTGTCTTGCAATTCACAAACTGAAATGAAAGTAACTTTGAATATATTCGCAATTTAAGAGAAGCTAGTAGAGTGGGTAAAAGATCAAATGAGAAACGATTGACCATTCTGGAATCAAAGAAAGAATGATTAGATGCCAGTAATAATAATATTATAGGACCTTAATGGATGGTCATTTGACTTAATTTGTGAGTTATGTTTTGTTCATGAGAGCAGACAAATGATTAATAACTCATGATAAATCCGTTCATATGAAAAAATTAAAAATCCAAACATCAAGCAACCAAGATATTTCATATTTGTTAAGAGGAAAATCACCTCAAACAACAAGTCTAATGAGATGCTATGCAAGTATATAGTGAAAAAGATAGATTCACTCATGGATGCTTTATAAGTATGTAATAATGTAGTTGAAGGGAAAATAACATTGTTCTTCGTTATCCTGTATGAAATT